AAAAGTCCAAAAAATACCAGCAAAACCTAGTAAAACAACCTTATAAGAAATGAGTAAAAAGAATCAGCAATATTCGAAACACTCACTTCTTCACTAGTGCAGATGACACAATCACGGCTGCCAAACGCATCGGCTCCCTTTCATGACTTGATTTTTCCATCACGCTCCTTGCTAATGAATCTACCCATTCTGGTCGGTGTTCCACCAGAGAACGAACAAGAACAGTTATCTGTAAAAAAAGAATCATTCCAATGGCTTCTGACGGGTCTTACAAAGTTTAACACAAATGGGTTGGTTCATAAGGAGGAAAAAATAAGAAACTACAGACCGCGCCTATGAATAGCTCTCGATCAAGACATTCTGTCCATCCTCTTGCTTGATTCATATCCTCGATGACGGCCGACGATTGAGTTCTGCAAATATCTCGAGGAGTGAAAGTCATAGAAAAGTCAAAATACCTCCAATAAAATATCCAATCAAGAAAACAAAAAATGCCATAATACCTGAACAAGAGCGTCTTAAGCGTTGCCACAGCCAAACCGGCTGGCCTTTCAGCGGAACGTCTCAACTCCGGAGTTATGATGAGAGGCTGCTTAGTTCCTAAAAATGGAGAAGCAGCATATAAAGAAGCTCGACTAGATGAAATCATTAACTCTAAAATACTCCTCTAACCATCTTTGTTCTCCTTAACAACTACAGGGAACTGCGTGTCTGAAACGCTACAAATCATGTGAAACATCGCAGCAATGAGCACTGGTACTCTCTCGTATAACGTCCACTCTGGTTCACCGTGCTGTAAAAATTTTGGTTTACAATGATTGGCCTTAAGTACTGTACTTACTGTGCATTCAAAGAAAGAAAATCATAAACGCAAAAAGACATTGAACAACTCCGTTTGAGATCATATGAACAGATATTTCATGCAGGAATAGAACTAGACTCTACCTACCTTGATAATTTCAGCAATGGCAGCCGCATATTGACATGGCTCCACGTGAACGATCTTCACAGAACTACCACCTCCAGTATCCATTATATCATACGGTTGTTCCAGTGCACCTGTCAGCAGCTCCAAAAGATAGTCAAGCGTATTCACAAACAGCGACCGCTCTCTCGCCACACATTCCCATGCATCCAAAAGTTGTCTAAAATAACAGATAGTAAGGTTAGCTCCAAGATTTAAGGAGTCAGCTTGAAATCTAAAGTCTCTACGGAGCGATTCACGGACGAAAAACGAAGAGAACGGAGAGTGAATTGAAGAGCCCAATTCCACAAAATGTATGACATGCAATCGAAAAGGATCACAGAAATAGATTTGGATGCGCCCTGATGATTACCTCATGAAATATAATCGACGCTCGATAAACACATGATCACAAGAAAATCAGAACACTCCCGATTAAAAATAGAAGTTAAGAAAAACTAACACTGAATACGGCAGTGGTTGCCGTAACATAACGTCACATACAACCGTTTGTTGATGAGCTGCAAAGGCAACGAGCGCTGCTAACAGATCGGTGTAGGTTTGCACACAAGAATGCACTTCTGGCAAGCGAGCGAGTATTGTTGTTACTAATGTATCAGCCTCAAGAAGAAAGCGACCATTATAGATATACGTCTGTTAGTGAACTTCGAATGAAACACACAGCCAACCTCATGAACAAGAATCGCTCCTCGGCAGGTAAGAGCATAGGTGAGCAACTGAGCGGCAGCTGATGAAACCTACAAAACTTCTTAAAGTTGAGTACAATTTGCAGTTTGAAAGGATGTAAGCCATTTAATGGTAGGTGCCTTCAGAGCTCGTTTTTCAAATACGATTTCAGTGCATCAATTCTGGTTTTTCAGGACAACACCATCCTTGAAGAAGACCTAGAGAGACCTTGAAGACAGGACTTGCGGAGCCATTGATAAAGAGATCAAAATTCACAATTCAAAATCTTCTTTAAAAATGGTCTGTCTCTATTCAAGGTGATTATTTTTAATTAGCTATGAACAAGAGGGTACCAGGTTTCTGTTCAGTAATGGAATGGTTCGCAATTCCATTGGAAAGGTGTTAACAACTGGGAAATAAATGTACCTGGCTCTGTCGATCTGTCATCATTTCAAATAATGCTGACAGATAGGTTTGCATTTGACACTGTGGTAGGCGCGACTCGATTACCTTAANGGATGTAAGCCCTCTAATGGAAGCTGCTTTCAGAGCTCGTTTTTCAGATACGATTTCAGTGCATCAATTCTGGTTTTTCAGGACAGCACCATCCTTGAAGAAGACCTAGAGAGACCTTGAAGACAGGACTTGCGGAGCCATTGATAAAGAGATCAAAATTCACAATTCAAAATCTTCTTTAAAAATGGTCTGTCTCTATTCAAGGTGATTATTTTTAATTAGCTATGAACAAGAGGGTACCAGGTTTCTGTTCAGTAATGGAATGGTTCGCAATTCCATTGGAAAGGTGTTAACAACTGGGAAATAAATGTACCTGGCTCTGTCGATCTGTCATCATTTCAAATAATGCTGACAGATAGGTTTGCATTTGACACTGTGGTAGGCGCGACTCGATTACCTTAAAACCACATTTTTCGATAAAAAAAAGAAGAAGGATGTGAAAGTGACATGAAAAGTTGTATCAACCTCTGCCATTTTCCTGATTGCTTTCTTAGCATCGTTAGCATCGAGGCGACCCTCATTACTGAGATATGCCCTTGCAAATTCTTCAGGTTTGAATAAAGTAGAATCCGTTAGCGTGCCGTGGCCCTAAATTGTTATTAGTCATCTAAGGAATGTCTCTTTTCCACTATGTGCCTTCAAATGCTGCACACCTTGTACGCATTAGCGAGACGAAATGCATAATGAATAGCAACGAGAGACTGATGACGCACAAGCGCCAAGGAATCAACTAGACGAGGTGTCAGACGTGCTAACAACGACGACAACGGTCCAAAATCGCTGGCTATCTGTAAATACCGTCAACTCAACCTTCTTTCGCTTCAACATCTATGGCACTACTCACTCCAATGCTTATGTCTTCCGCCCTGTCCAGATATACCCGCAGCACTTGCACAGTAGCATCGATTGATCTGCTACGCTCATGTTCAGCTAGCTTTCCATAGTACGGTAACAACATCTAAAATGACCAACTCATTACATACGCGACAGTTACAGACGATCAAATGAACAAAACGAGCCTTTAGTAACTGCGTTACTGTACCAACGGTTGGTCGCATTTCGATTATCGCTTCCAGGGCATTAGCGTACTGTGCCACCGTAGCGTCCATGATCGTTGCCGATTCATCATCGTCAATCTTAATTTGCAAATTCCCGCAATACAACACCTTTTAAGTTCTTCTTCAAAATTCAACAATGGGGCTGAACAATCACAGAACTCATAATAGGAAACTACTTAAGTAACAATACTAAAGGTCATAGGGTGATTTGCTAACGCTTTCCATCCAAAAACTACTTCTACAGAAAAAACCGTCGTTTCAAACTTTTGCAATTTTTAAGCTACTCAACTAAAGTTACCCTTCCAAATAAGCAGATGCGGAAGCAGCTCAACGAAATCGAGTGTTAGAAGCATTGCGGTTTTGGAGCCATAAAAACTTCTACTAATTTTCACTTTCAAAAGCGTTGAATTGCAACATGAATAAGCTTTAGTTATGATAGCTCAACTGGATGTTCACGCGTTGATACTTTTTTCCCTGACAACCTAGACACTTCAATGAATGATGAATGCAGTAAGAGTAATTATGGAAAACAAGAAAAGTAGAGCTTCCATCAAAACCAATTAAAAAGCCTCATTTTGTTTCTGGATTGTTTCCTGAATCTAATCGAAATAAAGAAAACCAGGTACTGATTTGATCAAACGACTCAGAACGAACGACTAGATTTAGCAGCTCTTTTTTTAAATCAATGTATCACTCTTTCCCATCTTAGAACAATTTTGGAATAGAATTAGTACAGAAAATATCACCACATGGTAGCTTTATGGTGAGCGAACATTTCAGCTTTCTAGCCCTTACATCTTCACAGGGAAAATGCCGGTGTGAGTGGGAGCATTGAAAATTTAGATAAAAGCGAGTGCATTGTAGAGAAGGTAGCATAGCAAAATTACTCGAGGATAAAATGCGAAGAAGCCTGCGTCGGCAATCAAATGGTTAACAGAGCAATCAAGAGATCGCTTAATTTGTGGCGTATTAGGGGGAATGAGATTAGTGTAATGGTTTGAAAAAGCCCTATAGAAGCTTGAAACGTAGAAGTGGAGAATGGTAAAGAAGATATTGAAAACAGCATACCTTTTTTGTGCCGGTGCGACTACCAGACGACGTAAACGATGAAATTGACGTCGATGCATAGTCGAATAAATCATAGGCCAACTAAAACGAAAGGCCGAAGATAGGTGAACAAGCAAAGCCTTTTCTTTAACCGACAGACTTTGCGACAGCTTTCATTAATTATGGTCTAAGATTAATTTATATTATAAACTCAAGCTGTGACAAAACCCATTGTGATAGTGAAGAGGGTAATGGGAAACAAAAAGAAAAACGCACACCATTGCATTTAGCAAATGCACAGCAAGACATTTCTATGTAAAAAAAAAAGGCTGTCAGCCTAATAGAGCCCATCAAAAACCAGTGACTACTGCAGAACTAAAAAACACAAAAAAGAAAGCCTTACCGTTTTAAGTCCACTCTTTTCACGACACATCGGTAAGATGTGTTGCGTCAACACACATCCCAAATCCCAAATGTCATCGTCACTGAGTGGAGGTTCCAGCCGTCTAGAAAGGAAGCATGAGAACAAATCCTTCATTCCATGTTAGAACAGCAATAAGGAATGCAGGGTTATGTAATACTAACACAAGAGCCGCTGTAGCTTTGGCAGCCAGAAGCCTGAGAGAGCTTGATAACATCTCAGGAGTCTCACTTTGTACATAGTCCTAAAACACAGACATTGACGCGGGGTTTTGAGAAAACCGATGAAAAGAAGCGAAAAGAATCAAAATGGAAATGATGCTACAGAAACAAACATTTTCACTTTCGATCCTAAATCTTCGCCTACCTTAATATATCCAATTAACTCGTTACGAGAATCGAATTTGTAGTCTCCGGGAAGCCTTGATGGATGAACAGAAATAGCTATTAGTCGCATTGTTTCAAGCATAGCTTCTCGAACAACAGTTTCTTGCTGGAACAGTAACCATTCGATATATTTCTTGAAACATCGCTAATAAAGGTAGATTACATTAGAAAGGGTAAAGTTATAGGAGAATCGGAGAAAGGAAGTGAAAAAGGTGACTGACAAGAAACTTTCATAAATGTAAAGTAAGGCAAATAACGGCAAGTTGTGTAAAAGTCGTTGCCGGGGCCCGTTGCTACAATAAACCTGCCCCTTTCCTTGATTATTAGAAGAAAAACTAGATTCCGTATTCCGCAAACAGAAAGCCTTTGAAACCAAGCACTACGAATGATATGATTCAAAGCTTCATTATAATCTTATGCTTACCTTGCTATTAGCAAAATAATGCCTCAAAAATGTGATAATAGTCTGCTGAAGACGCTGAGTGAGCGTATCGAGAGGACACGCTTGAACGACGTATCCATAGCTAAGCATTAGACTAGCACGAAGTAGCACCATTTCCGTATCAGTGTACTGACGAATAGGCATGGCATCCTGAAATAGTTCCAGGAACTATCGGATCCACTGACAGATTCTTTACGGAGCCCAAGTTTCACACTTTGATGAATCCGAAAAATCCAGAGCTCTTCTTTGCATGCTCCCATTTCGAGACATTCTCCAGCTCAATCAGAACCAAATCCATATGTGTCGACGCGCATGCTCCTACACCACGTGCACATCCTTGTCGCTCTGTCGGAATATTGTGTTGAGTAGATCTGGAAACGGCCAAATTATGAAGGCGAAATGCCAGGTTAAGAAAAAAGTATTAATCAGTCGTTTAAAAGAGGCGACTCACTTGAACATCAGCATAAGGTGATCGACAACGAAAGATTTCAATGCAATTTTAGATAATGCTGTTCCTAGGCATCGCAAAAGAAAAGCCTAAATCATTTTCTAAGCTGTCTCTGAGAAAACTAGTTAATCCAGTGACGCATACCTTCTCTTCTGGGTAGTCTTTGTACAAATCAAGTTGTTTTCCCATAACTGCCGCTAAGCTCATTCGCCATTCGCCATCTATCACTACAGCCATACATGCCGATAACATTTCCAGACATGCCTCATGCCANCTCTCTTCAAAGCGTAAGTTTGAAAGTAAATCTGTTATCAAAGAAGTAAGTACGACAAGATTAGACCCTCGAAAGCTAAAGAGAAAGCCAATTTTTGTTAGTCACACGAATAGTTTGCGAAGCGGCCTGGGTAGGCTTGACTACAATGCGCACATAATTACGCATCAGTTCTGAACATATATCTTACCTGGCTATTCGACGCCCTCTCAGTTCAACGGCAGGTGAACTTTCTCCAGATGGACTGGGTAATGACGTGCTGCACACTTCTGAAAAAAATAAGCTCAGTCTAGGCGGCTCAAGGGTTTGAAATTAATTTGCACCCAGAGAAATGGTTACACATCCCAACTTCGGCCGATTCCCATAAGAGGCAGGCAGTTAAGGGAAGATTACAACGTAGTAACCACAATTACTCTTCATGATGCATTATGAAGACCCTTTTCTCTTACGCTACTTCATATTACCCTGCTTAAATCAGATTTGTTAACAGTGACGTGCAGTAGTGCCCACCATCCATAAGAGACTCCATCCGTTCTGACCATTTCTCAAATACATCTGGCAACGAAGGATGGAACCATGAGCTCAGCAAGCGCATCAAACCGTAACTTTCTCTAAAATCTTTAATATGCATACAGGTTAACTACAATAGAATCCGAACAAGTAACAACTAATTCACCTCGCTCTCCTTGCTAACAGTCCATTTAGCGGAGCGTTACACAAGCATACAAAGAGCCGTGCCAGCACTGCATAATTTCCCGCTACGCGTGCTGTAAAGAAATACAATCAGTGGGAGTTTTGAAATATTGGAGGAACAAAACAGATAACTAAAAGCGAAAACTTCTGCAAAGTGAATAATAAAAGCAGGCCAATAAAAGTCTTCATTAGAGTTCAACAATGCTTGACTATGAGTACTTTTCAGTTAGCTTGGTCCAGCAAGTACTCAATAAGACTATAAGCCTCTTTTGAAAGCCTTTCAACACGATTAAACTCAAATTAGAGCCGATGCCAAGAATACAAAAAAAAATTCGACGAACCGTTATCAAATCCAGTCTCAAAATCCAGTTCTTTGCCGTCTTGTATTTCCCTCGTGACCAGGGTTCTCAAGCATTTGCAAATATCTCCCACTACCGGGAAATAGCGTTCAGTGCATATGAATTCGAATAGATATGGCCAAAGCAACTGAAATGGTCTTGTTATTCCACAAAGCTCCACATGCTTAAAAGTGTACCCACTAAGAGGTTTCTTTCACGGGAAACAGGTTTTCCAAACTCACTTTATTGGCACAGACGCATGTACTTGCGATCGTATTTAGGGCTTGGCCACATTGGGTGCGAAGTTGGTTCAAACCAGCAACGTCGACTTCAACTTTACGAGCCTGCTATTAGAATGACTCAATTATATAGAAGGGATGCAAGGAAGACATAAACAGGACCGTGATGCATTTATAAGAACAGTATGGGAATACCTGAACTTCCTGATCTGACGGCGGTACGAGGTTTCTCACGAGAAATGCTGTCACATGATCACCCCCTTCAGCATCTACATAAGCATGATCGGATAAGGCAACACATAGTTGCACGATAGCCCGTTTTACCTATAACAATTAATGGACAAGTTGAAAGCCGCAGCAGGGAAGTCAGCCTTGTAAGGGAAATTACTAACTGACCCTGATTGACGAATTATTTTCGGCAGCTAACAGCTTTCTCAGCCCCATCATCAACAGTGAACGCTTGTCTTCCATGTACTGGCCTTGAGGGTAAAAAAAAACAGGTTGGTCAACATTGGAAGACACAGAGAGAATGAATCATCAATGCAAATTACCAGCCGAATTGAGTAGATGTCGCAATACATTTATCGCTCCCAACTTTTGCATATCAACGACACTTTGTATTTTGTGTAACAGATAATATACAATTTTATCCGCGAACCGCGTTGCTGAAGAATTTCACTTTCATTCTTCTTATCAAACACCAAATAGAAGAAAAATTGAAAAATAAAAGAAGAAACAGAAAGTGAAAGAGAAAATGCTATGTGCAAATTTTCAAAGAAGGTAGCCTAAAGCGTACCTGCAACATGGAAGCACCTAAAGGCTTCGCTATGATTCTTGATCGCAGCTGGATTCAACGTCACACTTGAGTCATCGGGATCAAGACATGCATTTGGGAATAGAGCATTCAGTACGTCTTCTACATAGGGTTCCAATGGACACGACTCATTAGCGCAAGTCGCTTCCAGAAAACGACAAACTGCCTGAAAATGGAACCTCAACAAGGAAGAAGGGTTCACAAAGCATGTTAAGAGTATTCTTGAGGATTTTTCAGTACCGGGAGACTCAGTATTTTGGAGACTTTGCTGCATTGTTACTCTGAATCATACTCAAAATTCAGTGAATTTACTAGTGACATCTATGCATCTCGCAATGTTGTTTTCTGTAAAGTCATCGCAAAGGCTTTCGCTATTGCAAAACGATCCCCTAACGAGTTAATACAGGGACATGAATAGCTCCCGCAACGTGCAATTCTGCGAGGAAGAATGAATAATGGCACATACCCTGAGAAATGTAATGCAGAAATAAAGCTTACTTTCGTGATTGTGTGCTGTTCGGTATATGCCTTTCTGTACAAGCCCAGAATGGTAGATACTAGTTTCTTGAGATCTTCCACCACTTTTTCTGGTTTTATCATCAGGCAAAGTTCGCCAACACATTCGCCAGCTTCAGCACGAGTCTAAAGAAAGGAGGGAGCTCATAAAGCCATTGGTTGACATAGAAGTAGCCAAAAGAACGACTTGCCTTTGGATCTTTGCTGTACATCCATTGAAAAACAACTTCGTAGATTGCTTCAGCCTGATCCGTGTATGTGTGCCGACTCAGAACCATGTTACGATCATTTTCGCGTTCATGGTTTGGAGAATGATTCGTCCCTAGAAGAGCAGCGAGTTCACCCCGATAAAAGAAAGTTTTGAAGGTTCCTAATAAAAAGAAATCATGACCTAAAAACTTACCATCAATATCACCTTCATCGGCCTCAACTGGTCTTTCCGTTTCACACTCGCGGATGCATTCACAGAATGAACAAATTGCTCTGGACCATGCCGATCTAGAAAGGGGCAGTGCGATTTGGTGGAATAACATGAAAATACGGAGAGCATTAAATAAGATACCTTAGCGGGTCGCTACGTACGTGGCTTAGCAATGGTACCGTTCGCGAAAGAATATCAGTAAGGAATGATACAAGCCCGAATGCTTAAAAACAACACAAGTTGGTCCAAACAGGAAAACAATATACAAAATATATTCGATCGATTGTAATGATTGAAAAAGGATATCTTTCCAAGGGAAGGCTTCAAAAGTTCTAGTAAAAAAAAAAAGACTGAAACGAGGGTAATAAATCAAAAACCTACGATTATGCTCTGCTACAGTTGCCATTGTTAGGACAATATATCGATGAGGACTTGTGGTTAACCCCGGTTGAAATTTCTGTAGTATCGCATCCATCACATGAGATACAAAACGGGGGCTCTTGGCCAACGTCACTAACACAGTCTTAGCTGATTCGGCCCAATCTGCATCCGTTTCCTTCACCAAAAAGGATGTACAATTCTTTGAAGGATTAGGAAATAAGAAAAGAGCAAGAGCCTACCTTGCTGGTCATTGTCATCTCTTGGGTGGCAAGGTTGATTATGAGCAGTACCAACTGTTCATCCAACTCATTCACAATTTTCGCGTCTGATACCACAGTGTCGATTGCATTCAGTACAAAGGCTTTACATGGTGGTGATAACTACATGAGAGGGACATCTTTTTCGGCGTTTTTGAAATGAGTATTGCATTCAAGAAAGCTCACCTTGGGATTTTGCAACAAGTATTGATGACACGCTGTAAGTAAAGTATTCGGCTGATGGGCACCTATTGTTTTGAGCGAGTCGAAAACCTAGGAGAAGCTGACACTTTCAATTCTGAAGAAGAGGGAAAACAGAATCCAACGTAATCCATGAACTCGTACATAAGGAAACTAAGAAAAAGAGGAAAAAGGAAACTAGCAAAAGAATCATACCTCATTCCTCACTTGTTCACAACTGGAATACGATGAACTGCAATCCAACAATGAGGAGATCAAGTCTGTAAAGCGATTTTGGGATCGGAAATCCATAAAAGGACAGAAAACTCCGCCGATCAAGATCGGAAGAATCGACAATGAATTCTACTATTGGAATATTCACACCATTTCGTCATATGCGAAGGCATTTGGCATATGACATAATGGTTTTCATACAATAAGAAATCGATTATGGTCAGGGAATATCGCTTGATGCTAGGGAAAAGAAGGATAGAGAAAGCATATTCAAGAAAGACTCACCTCCTAGACTCTGCACTTGTGCCACCATTATGAATATCCGCCTACGGACAATAGAAATCTCTTTTCAAAAAAGTTACATTGACGAGTAGAGGGCGCAGCAAGACAAGTGATTGCGTCGCCCTATAAAAAACGTTGGCTAAAAAGACAAATATCGTTGTCCAACATGACGATTTCGAAACAAAAGAAGGTAGCGGGTGACTTGATAAGCGGTTAGTTCACCACGGCACCATGATAAGAGACAGGCGTTGTACGGGATTAAAGTAAAATTTCATTACGAAGTTGGTTTACATTACGTCATCTGTGTGTTTTCCAGTACAACCTACAACTCGCGTTAGTTATGATTTATATGGAACTATTTTGATGGTATTCGTTCTGTATTTGAATACAGAACTACAGCTGGATGAGCCATTTGCTCAGCTATGAATGAAGTGCGATCCACCAGTCAGATTAAGGGAACCTTTCTACGGTCTTCTTGATGCTCACCCGAATGGATTGAGACTGTCAAAATTCAAGGGCCCTCGGGACGTCAGACGAAAACCGGGATGTTAGTGCGATGGTGAGACATTTTCACGAAAATTCCGAGTGAGAAGCTATGAACCGTGGCCCTCGAGCGAGGACGATCCACAGGACTACTCTGGCTCGCGACAGGGACGAACGAAGATGTAATGGCGTCCGCCCGAGGAAATCGATGATCAAGGGGACAGCAAGTTGTGAGCGATATCCAGTGTCTGAACAAGCGACGATGCCGATTCAGACACCAACTGCTTAACATAGGCTCCGTTGGCGATGGGTATTATTCGAAGACATTTACGTCTTGAACTGAAATCGAGGCGCACCCCAATCCCTATACCCGTGTTATTTACACTCCTTGACAAACCTTCAGAAATAGCCATATCTCAAAAACGAGATTTCATCTACTTAACCATGCCCTGTTTACTATTTACTCGCAAGGGTTAAGTAATCTATTTTGCTATGTACCACCAACAAACACAGTGGGCTGCGTTCTTACTTGGACAATTGGCGAGCTTTTTATCCTTTATTATCATTTATTACTCATGAACAAATGAAACTGAAGTGTTTTTAGAGACGTAAAATTAATTGACATAACGGGGTAATAGAATCCAAGACAAGTCTATAATTATTCAAAACCCAAGATCGGATAAGAAATTCAATGATGTAAGAGAATCCATACAAAACAATTGGGGAGGGCTGAAGTGAATAACGTTCCCAGAAAACTCGTGCACTGCGCTTGACTTCTAAACAAACAAAATGTGAGACGTAAAGTTCCTAAATTTCGGGTTTAGAGACCTTTGTCAAATAGAGTACGAAGATACAGTGTAAAAAACAACAGACAACGATGTATTCAGCAAAATTCCAACGGTGTTTGTTTCACGAGTAGAAAATTACGCTTAAGGTATTTCGTAAGTGGGTTTTCTTAGTTGAATAAAGATCCCTTGGATATCCCAGAACGCCTAACAAAGGATATTTTCCATACCACCTTTCCTTTCTTTATAAGAGAAACACCGCTATGACTTCATAGGCCAGAAATTCTTTCGAAAATGTCAGCCCTAGCCTATCGAGCTTACCGCATTTTTCTGATTGCTAATCATATTTAAAGGACGCAGTCATAACTACAGTAATGGCCGCGGGTTAACCAGTAGCTGTCAGTAGTCGAGGCTCTTAATGCTATTCATTCTCAATCGTTACTTTTATATAGATGGTCTGAAATAAGTTTTCAAAAGATAAAGCGAGATTAGAAAGTAAGAGCAACCCAGTTACATCCGGAGTTTTGTTGAGGTAACGAATGAAAAGGATGAGCCGCGATGCGACCGCTCGCACCTTTGCAAGCGTCCTAGTCTGCTCATGACCTGACCCTTTCAAGTGTGGTTTTCTCATCATCTTAAGGGTTTGGATATACGGCTAACGGAAATAGTAAATTTTTCGTTCAGCCAGGATCGATTCTTCTTTAGAGATGGTGGTCGAATGGCTCATTAAAATGCGAGTTCCAACTGATACCTAAGCACTATAAAGTAAGAGCACTCCGTGAACTTTCGCACAGAAAAAATGTGGCAAGTGGCAAGCGCTCTCCAACGATCTGATTGTACAAATATTCAGGCGGAAACCGCCCTGAGGAATACTGCGCCTAATACAAATACGCAAACATACACGTGGGTTCATATTCCGTCTATGCATTTTTTATGAGTTATGCGAGGAGAACAGATGTTGACATTGAATAAAGGCTTCTATTCATTTAAATTTCCAGCTGGGCGGGGCTTGCAGTCTGTGTCGCGTGCAGTCGCGTCACGGTTGTGCTAAGGTCGGTGTGTGGGAATTCGTGAACACACTGCATGAACTCCATCATTCAAAAAGTAAGAACTTAGTACCTTACAGTACGATCGGGCCTTAGGAGTAGCCTCCTCTATGTCGAATGCGCCGTGCATTTCATTATATCAAAATGCAAGCTGTGTAGAGTACAAATACAAAGCAATTCAGGAGCTATGAATAATTGAGTCCCGCGTGAATAACTAAGGCCTTTGAAGAAAAGGTTACTCGCCAATTTCGCTTGCCATTGGTTGACGTGAGGATCCGCCAATATCCATCTGTGGCGACTAGATGCTTTAGAAGGCGAGGTATAGATAGGATCAAATCAGACAAGGACGATTGAGCAGTTTAGATGCATATTGATCGAAGATCCTTTGATTGGGGTAGCTTAGGCTTAGGGCGTAGAGACTCGTATCTATTCCTAACAACCTTATACTGTCATATGGTCGCAGTCCAAGATGGAATAAACCGTTCGGAAATCCGCTGATTACTGTAATGTAAGGGATCAGTATTCGTCTAGTAAAAATGAGACTGCGAAGGACCGAAGCGGTGGTGAACTTTTCAATCGATTTTATTTCGGCTGTTTTCGATGTGCTACATGAGCGATTTAATGAAAAACAAACGTGATCGACCGTAGATGAGTGCATTTCTACGCACTATCAACTATTTCGATAATGATTGGCCTCATTGTCAGATTGGGTTGCTGGAAATACTGTTCGATACATAAGTACAGTAATTTTGCCGTGCTTGTGATTCATTACCGTCATCTGCTTCTCATCGAATAATGTCGTTTTCTCAATATGTTTAAACCCTTTGAAATCCGAGAGACTGTCGAATCGTAGACGTTTTTTCCTCTTTTTTTTTCATTGAGCCATAGATTCTACGGCTCTGAAAAGGTCTGCCGTTGGACTAGAAACCAGCTACAACCCTCTACTTACTCCATATGCCAGAAAACCATACAAACGCTTTGGGTTTTGTGGATGACAACTGTGTTATGGCGCAACCTACATGTGTTTACAACCAGTTTGGTTATTTTTTTATTTCAATTGCTCTACCTCCGGCAGTCCGTTTCCACGTTGCAATGAAAATTCAATTCGGCATCGTTACCCTTTCCAAGGTATTTTATACCAAGGCACAGTTCCAGAGTTAAGCCGGGTTTTCTTGTTTTGAGCGCTTTGGTAGTTGATGGGCCTGGAAGTTTATCGATTCTGTAGTTTCTCCTGGTACGGTACTGAGACCTTACTACAACTGCACTCTTTCAAGAGATTGACTGGCTACGTGCTACATGCTACATGCTACATAAGGGTAACAAACAAAGAAACCTGAGTGCAATTGCAGGTAAACAAATAAGCAAATAAGTAAACAATGCATACAGCGCGCATATTTCTGTATAGCGAAGCTTGGTGCAGAAAGTTGTGCACTTAGGTAATTCACAGTAAGAGTTCCAAACCACAAAATAGAAAAAATAAAAAAAGAGGTGATGGAGAATAATATCGAACTCCTACCTTTCTCAGTACAGTTAGCCAATGGTGACAGCGATCACTGGCCTACTCAACAGTAATGGTCGGTTTTCATTTGTACACAATCACAAAACCCGATTATGGTCATTCAACAAGTTGTTATTTTCCTTGAAGTTCATCTCAGAACCTATAGTCCTACATTCACAGAGACTACCTTACCGCTGGACGGAATGGTCTATAGCATGGGATTGACTTCTCCTCATCTAGAGGTGATGCCAAGTAAACATGGTCATCTGGCACAACCGCTAAGTGAAGTTGGTGAATCATAAGTGTTAGGCAATCATGTCATTTTTCTTCAGGACATAGGGGCTGAATCAAAGCCGACTGGCTTCATGCTTCATTGAAAGGGTTATAAGAAAAGCTGGAAAATTCAATGGTATCCAGTTTTTTGGGTTTCACCATTATTTCTTGAAAGGAACAAATCGCCATCTGACTACGGCGCAGCCAAGTATTTACTATGTCCTCTGTAAACAATTAGAGATTATTATATTTATTTGTAATAGAAATACAATCTATCGATCTCAAAAACTCTTTTCTAACATTGTACAAAGAAGTAGGGCTAATTATGTCGAATAAAGTCGAATGTTGGTTATCGGCTCACAGAGCTTACTCGCTTCATTGCAGACCGTCTGTGAAGAACAATTCGAACAAGGTTGGCCTTTTTCGTAGATGTGCTTATTCAGGATATTACCTCTGAAAATAATCTTCAGCAACTTTTCCTTAGTTTTCACTTCAACTGGCCTTTTTTTATTCCTGTAAGAACATAGCGAATGTGGGTAGTAAGGTACCCTACACTTATACTATTACATATATATATATACATATATATATTATACTATTATATATATATATTATATTATATATTATATTATTTTACATATATATATTATACTTACACTTATTAATTGGCTTCCGTTCTTGAACGTTCAAGTGAGGTTACATGGCGAT